ACTTGCTCATTCAACATAAATATGCAATTACCATGTTGTCACATTTTTTCTCTTCTATCATCAAAAAATGAAGACATGTTCAATGAAAATTTAATCAATGAAATATTTTGTAAACAATATTACATAAAACATGAAACTGGTTCATATCAACTAAATCAAAATGGTGATAATGTTGATAAAAAGGCCATTGAAAGCAATAATATAAGCATTATGAGCCATTATTATGGAGAGAAAGCTATCAGATGTGATTCTTGCTTGTTGTGGGCAGACATAACTTGCACTAATATGACTAATAATAAAATTCCTTATAAATCAAAGAAATGGTTTTGTGTTTCTTGAATGAAATAAATCATTCCGTCTCATTTCTGAGTTATAGTTTCATCAGCCATTTTCAGTTAGTTTGTATTGTTTTTGTCTAGCTTCAATTTATAAGAATATTTCACTACAAGGAATTACAGAAAAATAATTGGGCCGGTGTGCTAAAGGAAAGACGAAATTGAGTGAAGCCTGATAATATGTCTCATGAATAAATATACAGGGTGTTTATTAATTGAGTGCCGATGATACAAGGTGTGAATCCTCGAGTGATTTTATGGAGAAAAGTTCATATCAACATATGTCCTAAACCTTTTAGTTTCTGAGCTACAGGGTGTTGAAATTTTGAGGAAAAAGTGTCTTTTTCAACTTTTTATCGCTCCTAGATCATTTCATGAAATTCGTACACACTTTGTCATTATTGGGGAGCAATTTTCGACGTGTAAATTTTTTTGTAATTTTCACCAGTGACGCCCGTGCGAGGTTTAAACAGATATTTTTGAAGAAAAAATTGGTACGCTACTGATTTTTCTGAAAATTTAAATTACTTTTGAAATCTTCATTTATTGGAGCAAATTTGATTCTGAGACTTACTTTCATACGACGTACCGTTTTCGAATAAAAAAATAAAATCTAAAAAGTTTACTCATCATTTTCGAGATTGTTCTTAGTATTTTGTTAAAATTCACTAGGCAACCACTATGAATGGAAACACAATTTGTTTTGGGACGAAACTCAAGTATTTACTTTTACCAGTGATGTTCACGTAGGCTCGATATTGAATGATTTGATTGAAAAAAAATCTGTACGTCTCTGATTTTTACACCCTGTAGCTCAAAAACCGAGAGCTTCAGGACATGAGTTGATATGAACTATTCTCCTCAAAATTATTCGAGGATTCACACCTTTATCGGCACTCAATTAATTAACACCCTGTATAGGTGATCTTTCATTATACCTACTGAGTCCATACAAAATTCACGAAATAAGCCACTATATATGACCTTATTATTCTCAGTTTTGAGATGAACATATCCGTTTATTTACCTTTTGTACCTGAGTACTTGTTTTGTTTTGAGTGTGATATGTTTGATATTTTCATCTACTGCTAATCAAAATTTGAGAGAGTGCCACTAATATTTCACGTATTAGACTGAATTATCCCAAATCAAATTCTTAGCAGCAGATATATTATTATAATGTCCATTTATGTACTTGTTTCGTTTTTAGATACATAGGTACCTTCCTATTCGTTTTTCATTTGATATCGTTAATGTTTTGTTAATTTTGTTTAATGAGAAAATAATAACTCAAAACACGAGTTTTACTACCTACCTACACATTATCTTATTCAGATTGACCAGTTTTTTTTTCATATTAATATAGGTACCGCGGATGGTTCACCATTAAAATCTCCTATCCCTCCCTATATCTTTGGATTTGGGAGCAATTTTACATTGACATTTTATACACTTCATCAAGAAATGCAGGGTGTCCGGAATAAACGAATTATTGGGTTGCAATCGATTTTTTCAATCGGTAAGAGATTATTATTAGGAATTCAGCAATACCATCAGGTTTGATGGAATTATTTCAAACTGCGATAAATAAGTTACTAGGGGAAACTCATATATCCTGAAATATAGGTACTTGAAATTATACCACCTAATATGCCGGGTAGGTTCTCTATATAGGGTCATCATTGAAATACGTTGGATCAAAATTGATCGGAAGTGTTTCCAAGATATGTTAGTTTTTCAAACAGGACACCCTGTATATTTTCATTTCCTTCCTTTTCAATTTTACACATTAAATTCGTTGAGCATGCCATATACCTAAGTTCAAACACCCTGTATAGTAAAAGAGAGTATCCTTTCTCCTGGTTTTCCAAGAGAATATTTAAGAGAACTCAAGTATGTAGTAGATTTGTGGTCAAAATGCGGGCGCCCGGTCATATAAATATTTGAACTCGGAATCCGGGCGCCCGGTCCAATAAATATTTGTTGTCCGAATCCGGGCGCCCGGTCATATAAATATTTGAAGTCGAAATCCGGGTGCCTTGTCAAATGAATATTTTTAGTGAGAATCCGGGCGCCCGGTCAAACAAATACTTTTAGTGGGAATCCGGGCGCCCGGTCAAATAAATATTTGTTGTCAGAATCCGGGCGCCCGGTCAAATGAATATTTGTTGTCAGAATCCGGGCGCCCGGTCAAATAAATATTTCTAAGTCGGAGTCCGGGCTCCCGGTTCGATAAATATTCGTGTCTGGACTCCGGGCGCCCGGTCGAATAGATATTTGTGGTTAGAATCCGGGCGTTTGATTAAAAAAAAAGATTCGAAGCGAGAATCGAACCCCAGTCCCCTAGCTCATGAAGCCACGACGCTGTCCATTGCGCTATTAGATTGCTGAGAAATATCGTAGCAAGCTGTGTTCTTCATCGAACCAGGCGCCCGGTCCGATAATTATTTGTGTCTGGAATCCGGGCGCCCGGTTCGTTGAATATTCGTGTCTGGACTCCGGGCGCCCGGACCCATAGACACTCCCATTTTTGAATAGAATCGGATCATAATTACAAAATTCGTTCGCCATATTGGATCCATTATCTTGAATTTCACAATTTTGACGAAAAATCATAAAGTTTGACCCCGAAAACCCTCAGATACCAATCTTATATAGAATCAGATCATAATTAGAAATTTCTTTCGCTATACCGGGTGACACAGGCTATCGGGCCACCCCTGTAACTTCTGCATTCGTCAACGGATTTTTCTGAAATTCGGTACAGTTATATAAGCAACTATTTCGGATTTGATCACATTACAATCCAATATGGCGGATTTCCGGTTTTTCTGGAAATGCCAGCCATTTTGTTTTTTCAAATGGAACACCCTGTATATTTTTACATATTCAAGTTCAACAAGTCAAAACAAGTGCAATCTCGATGTCTAATGTCATTTATTCCACAGCCTACCTAGTTGAAAAATTATTCTAACTGCAAGGAAATTCATAAACTAGTTGTTGATTTTTGAATGTATACAATTTGTTACTGCACCGAAAAACGTGAATGATATTTCATTTTGTTCCTTAATGTATGTTCTAGAGAAACGGATAGGTGGCCCATAGGGGTTCCATTTGAAAAAAAATAATTTTTTATCAAAAAGTGATGTGGCTGAATTGATTCCGGGATAAGTGACACAAAAAATAATTTTTCAGTAAAAATTATGTTCTTCTGTTATGTGTGACTCATTGTGAATAGTCTTGACCACATCTCATTTATCCACGAGGTAAAATGCAAGAACAATTTTAATTTAATTTTTTTCGAAAAAATGACATTTGAAATAAAGATTGCACTTGTTTCGACCTGTTGAACTTGAATATGTAAAAATATACAGAGTGTTTCATTTGAAAACACAAAGTTGCTGGCATTTCCAGAAATACCGGAAGTCCGCCATATTGGATTGTAATGTGATCAAATCCGAAATGATTGCTTATATAACTGTACCGAATTTCAGAAAAATCCGATGACGAAAGCAGAAGTTACAGAGGTGGCCCGATACCCTGTGTCACCCGGTTATATTGGATCCGTCATCTTGAATTTTCCAAGTTTGACGAAACAATCATTATCTCCAACCTCGGAAACCCCCAGATACCCTCCAATTTTGAATAGAATCGGATCATAATTACAAAACTCGTCCGCCATATGATCTTCCTCAACAAGTAAATACCCTGTACATTCCAATTATCAAAATTTTGAATGATTTCCTGTAGCGCCCATGGATGTGACGTGACAGCAATGTCAGGGATGCCAGTAGACAAAACTTGAGTCTCTAGACCATTGAAAAAGAATGCAGCTATGATCTGTCCGTACCCTGTTAAGATGACTTCAATGTCAATTTCCATCAAGGGGCCCTAGCAAATACATACGAATTATCATGTATTGCCAATCCCATCTGAATGATCCACTACTGTGTCGATTCTGACAGATTGAAATTCAGCAGTTAACTATGGCTAGGGTCCCTTGATATTTATCTTAACAGGGTACGGACAGATCCACGTCTCCTCTCACTCTAAAGTGTTTGTGAAACAGTTATATAGTTCCATCCTTATTCAATTCTGGGGATAAACACTATAGGCCAAGCAATGGGGGACTCAAAAGTGCTTTACCTGGAAAAAAATACAGGAGTTTTGAAACTTGGCAGTCATGTACATATATATGACCTCAGTTACGCGTATGATTTGCGACCTCGTCAAGTCGCCGCTAGCCCCGCCATATTGAAAAAATTGCACCTAAAATCAGTTTTTTCATGATATCTCTTTTTCAGTACTTCGTAAACAAAAAATAGGCATTACAACAATTGTAGGAAAGGAAATTCTCTACAAATTTTGTAGAAAAAGTTTTTTGCTGGGATCAATATTTCCAGAGTTGCATCGATATAAATCAGGGCAATGTTAGTAAAATTGTACAATGCTTCCCTTACAGTGTAAATTATCGCTAAAATTTGTTCAGTTATTCAGCAATTATTACTTATACTCGTTTCCACACCACCTGAGGTAGAGTAGCGACGCGTTTTTTTTATAGTGGTGTCCCCAGTAGGCCTAATCCACATTTCAATGTTTCTAAAACAATTATTATTGCTGGCTTCGTCTCAATACTCTAGATGGACCAGGTTCGCTTGGATTCACACTGATTTTGTATGTGTCTTCTGCATCTGATTCATCTTCCCCGGAATCTACGTCTATAACATCAAACGTCGGCAGTAGAATGATATCATCTGGGTCTTCGTCATCAGAGTCGATCAACATGTTTGCGATATTTTCGCAAGAATTTCCTGTGCAGTACATGCAAATTATCGAACAATTCAAACCCGCCTTTCTGCAGCTGCATACTGAGACACATCCTTTTTTACATTTGCATGAAATGAATTTTAGAAGAACTTCTGGAGCAGGATCTTTGGTTGTTCTAACAGGAGTGAGTCCGACCTTACTCCTTTTCCATCCCCATTCTTCCGGATTTTTTTCAACACCATACCAGGCTTGAACTTGATGATAGGTGCGGAATGAATGTTGTTTTGCTGCTGCTGCTGTGGGGGGAAGTGAAGCAAGGTTAAACTTACTCTTTGTCGCCGATCTCGAAAACTGCTGATATCGGAGAAAATCCAGAGATGAATCCTTTTGAGATACTCCATAGAGTTTGATCAAGAAATTTTCTCCTGCTACTGCAATTGCGTTGGCGTCTGCACTTTCATCCTTGAATACTTCGATAATTTCATTCAATTCCGGGAATTTCATAATAATCTTGAGGAATTTGTTCTTGCCTTGGTTGAAAATGGCAGATGTTGTGTCACATCCACTGAAGGCGTGTAAAAACAATATATTGTGCGCAATGCTTGGTTCGCGTATACTTCGTACGGAGTAAATCTTTTCTGAAGTTTTCCCCTTGCCCGGTTTCAAGAAATAAACATTTGGATGATGATTTCCTAGTGCAACTAAAAGTATCAGTAGGTCGATATCTTCTCCAACGATAAACACAGAGTTTGAAGATGATGCTGTGGATATTGCTGTCCTAACAATTAAGGTGTCAGCGTCTTCTATGGCCTGATGGACAGTAAAGTTTGATTTCTCGAATTTATCTTTCAGTAAGGATATAAGACGACTCTTGTTGTGATCGTTGGCTAGGAACCTGGATTGTGGGTATGTCGTTATCATCGATTCATCAAACAATATGTCCGCAGATGTTAACTTTTTTGATCGTAGAAGACGTTCTGCACTTTTAGTGCTTTTTTGTGCAGCATCAGCTGGATATCCATCAAATACAATGATTGAATTTGAACCATAGTATTTTGTTACGTATTGTATATACTTTGTACAAATAGAAACGAAAGATTCGTTGCACTGCCAAACAACTCTGTGAAGGAGAAATCCTCCATCTATGACATGAACCTTATTTTCAAATTGCACATCACTAGGAAGTGGTGTAAAGGCTTTATAAAGTGAAGACTTTGTGCCTTTCCTCATCCCTTCCTCAGAAAAGAGTGATAGCGGAAACGGTGCCAGTTCATATTCCAGGTATTGTTGTAACTCTTCGTCCGTTTTTTTTGCAATGCACATCCTATGAAATATCAACAGTGGGTCAATAGGTACAGCTACTTCTTCTATTGTAATGCTGTTGTTGATAGCCCCAAGAGGAATTACTCTGTCTTTACGTTTAAATTTAACTGAATCAAAATCCTTGCCAATTATATTCGATATTCCAATGGAGCCAATATCTTGCGCATTGCAGCAATTAACACGCTCATCTCCAACAAGTCCAGAACTTATGGACATTATGTTATCGATTTTTGGAAACGGATAGTGCTGATTGAACCAGTTAATAAGTTTTTCTGTATCCTTACTGTCACGAAGTATTCGTGAACGCCTCATGTCGACGTGTTGTTCCGTTGTTCCACTAAATATTCCACAAAAATCTTCAATTACATCACAAACGTTGTGTAGGAAAGTCATTCCTAGAGTCCACTTTGTGAGAACGCTGTCTGTTATTCCTCGTCCATGGGTAAGTCCACCTATACTTTTCATCGTCCTCATCAGAGTCTGCTCGATGGTCATGTCGGTCCAAATTCCAGACCAAAATTTATCGGACCGTCTAATGGTGAAATATCCCTTTGTCGTAAAACTTTCAAATTCAGTCGGATCCATTTTATCTTGTAAATTGAGCATGTCTTGCAAATACAAATGACAAGACTTTGCGTAGAAAAAATGACCACTTGCATGAAAAAAGGGCAACATTTTTTGAATCGTTTCAAGGTGTAGTGTCCAGTTGCCAGTGCGTTCTGCTTCAATAAATTGCTTCAACAAAGTCACCATTCTGAAATATAGAATCCATAGTTTGGCAGTAGGCCCGTTATTTTCTAATTTCTGAAGTTGATTTTGCAATTTGTTTGCAACAGTTTTGAATGAATCTTGATCGTCTGCTGTAAGAATGACGGATTTATCGATGTCGTTAATTATGTTTTCCAATTGTACGCGTTCTTCTTCGCTAAAATCAACTGCATCGAATATAATATTACCTAAGGCAAGATGAGACAAGATATGAGCTCTTAATGCACGTGCGTAAGCATGCCCTGTTAGCATTTTTTCCACAGAATTTTGAGCATATACCATATATAACAGCAAATAAATCCTTTATTCCGCTTCCAGTCATAACATAGCCTATACATCCCATAAAAGACATCAATAAATGAAATCCCCCGAGTCTAACGACGACATTGTCAAGATGATCTTGATCATCATTGGAAATAATGTCTCTAGCTTTCATATAAAGCGGCTGATCGAAGGTTACGAAACAGGTATGCTGGTTTAAAGATTTACATTTTTCCGATGCAGTGATAAGAGCTGTGAGTATAGTATTATAGTCACTAGGTGGAGCGTTAATAAATGGAAGGCATAACACATGCGACTTCGAAAAAGGCTTCTGGGCCGTTGCCTGTTCCATGAAACCATTCCATCCAGGTATGGAAGGAAGCTTTGCCCACTTTGCATAAAGCCAAAGTAGATCAGACGCTGACGGCAAGATTTCGGATGAAACGGGATTTATACTCTCTATTATAGTCATTTCTTTCAAACCTGACTTATTTTTCCTTTCAAAAGATGCCAAAGGAATTGATCCATAATTTCCTACGACTGTTGCTGAAGGTATTCGGGAAAGCCGTTCGATTTTCTGGTCTGGAGCAATTGCAGTTTTTGGCGTGACACATTGGATACCACCCATTGCATGGAAGGTATTCAAACCATCTAGAGTGTTAATGTTAAAATCAGCATTGTCAAACACAAATTGTGAAAATGCATTTGGCTGAATTGTAATTCCTGGGCGCATGATAGCTGACAATTCAAAAAGTCCTACTTCACTGTAAGATGCCGAAAATCCTAACGATGATAACACTTCCAATAGTTGTCTTGACCCATACTTCTTATACAAAAATGTTGCTAGGCCAATTTGTAATGGCGATAAAAATGACCGAGGTCGTACTGCTGAGATTATAGCATGAGCAAATGCAGTGCATTTGGTTTTCCAATTCTTTAAAGGACCGCGCTTGTTTTTTAAAACAATATCTTGAAGTAAAACTTGCAAGCTCTCTGGAATAACCATGTCAACTTCTTCTAAGAAATTGTCCGAAGGTGGGTACTGCGAGATTTCGTACACCTGTGTTCGAATATCCTCCAGCACAATTGTTGCCGCGTCTTTAACAATCCGCAGTCTCTCTTCTTTCGGATCTGATTGTTTATCTTTGTACCAAGTGTCAGTAAGTACTTTGTATCCTGTATTTCGAAAACAGACAACCGGTGGTTTGTTCGCAGTTATGGCAATCAGAATATCATCCCCGTATTTTTCCAACAATTAAGCTTTGACGGTTTATACGTGTGGGCGATGATCTCCTTCAATTTGATTCAACAAAGTATCTAAGGAAAATTGGCATTCTTCAGAGTTATCTTCAAGATATGAGTAAATATTTTCCATAGCTTCTTCAACATTCGTAGCCAGTGGACGACCCTTCTTCTCTCCGGCTGATGGACGAATATGAAATTTCTTCATACATGAATTATGGTATTCAGCATCTGCTGCGACCAAGTCAGAAATATGCTGGATGCGATTTATCACGGTTTGCCCCCATGCATCCTGGCGGTGTTCAGCTAATTTCATGATATTGTCTTTCATTGATAATTTTCGGACTTCATACACTAATTCACGATCGACAATGCGAGTTTTTTCTGCGTTTCCAGATAATCATCCGTAATTTCTGCACCACATACAAAACATGCACTCCCAAAATGGAATGCGGGCACTACTGATCGCAATGATGTTGCTGGAATCGCAGTAATCTTCCGTTGCAGTGACGAGCGAATGAGTTTTTCGTTATTGTATTGCTTTCGGCATGCATCGTGTACTATTGCGGTTTCCAAGTTTTTCAAAAATCGTTCACTTTTACCATCTTTTCTCTTAATGCTGGATTGTCTAAAAGTATTCAAACCTCTTTCACGCACCGTAATAACGATATTGTCACTTGAAGTTTTTTCACATATGAAACAAGTTTGCTGTGCAGCGGCCATAGTCACAACCTCTACAAGGAACAATACGAAATATTAATCACAAAATAATATCACCGGCCGAAAAATTTCCAACGACACTATTGCGTGCTATTGCTTCGAAATAAATAAACGAACTGAACCGTCCGCCTCGACATCGGCAACGTCGACATTCCCACCACGACATACTTTCGCGTAGCCACAAACCGAAAGGAGGGGATGGAATGCGACCATTTGTGGATATAAATATTTTATTGATAGGGAATACCTCTGTTCTTCTCAGCAACGAATATAACAGATAATATTCTCTGAATATGTGAAAAAACTGCACTGCTGGATCGCAAGCATTATTGTATCATCGATGTTGAATAATTTGCTATAACTTATGCCTATGTGACTCCTGAACCATTGGTCGCACAAAAAAAATATTCTTTCAAAGTTGTAGAGAATTTTCTCCTCTACAAATTTTGTTAGTACTGTTTTTCACCTAGGAGGTACTGGACGAGAGATATCATGGAAAAACTGATTTTGGGTACCATCTTTTCAATATGGCGGTGCCAGCGGCGGTATGACGTGGTCGCAAACTTGAGGTGTTATTAGGGTCATGAAGATCAACCGATCTGCAAATTTTCAAAACTCCTGTATTTTTTTCCAGGTAAATCTACCCATTGCTTGGCCTACTAGATTTTTGACATTTCGCTGCCTCTACAGAATAGTGACACATTTCAAAATTGTTCTTTTTTCAGGAGAGGATTTTTAAGATTTCAAATTCATTAAAATTGTGATATCTCCTATGGATAATCGATTATCTGATTGAAATTTTCAAACTTCATTGTTACAATATGGTCTTCCTAGTCCAGTATCTTGGTTTCTTTCGATGTCTATCAAAAAAGATTGTTTTTGAGAAAAAATCAAAAATGTGTCACTGTTTTGAAGAGACATTGAAGAATTTTGTTTTTATTTCCTGCAAAATATTGAACATTTTCGAATGAAATGCTGAAGAAGTCGTGCAAAAATAACTTTATTTATTGACATCGAAACAAAGGAACAATTATATTAAGAATTAAACAGCAACACAAACGAAAACTTCGGATCCGATATAAACCAGACATGATAGTTTGATTTCTTAAAGACTATTATAAAATCCCTCGTAAAATTTGGGTATTATATTTTTTTTAATTAAATCCATCAGGCCTTTCTTCTTCTTTTCAGAAATGGGGAGGTTTCGTTTATACATTTGCTTGAGAGAACCGGCAGTTCGATTGGAATTCGTGTTTTTCTTGCTTGATCTCCTATTATTCTTTTCGACTTCAACTTTCTTGAATTCTGGATCACTGTAGGAGTTTTTGTAGAAAAATACAGCAGGATGTTCCTTCTCTACTCTAACTATTTTCGCATTAGATAATTTGAATGTCTCATTGTCCGTATTCTTAGAGTAATTATTTCCAATTTCGGGGGCGAGGCTTTTTATGTCGTAGAAGGAATCATGGGCAAATTCGTGGACTTTATAAGGAATTCTATTCTCTTTGGTGCCTCGGATCAAATTCACGTATTGGTCTGGTGTGTAAATAGGACCAGATTTCAGTGACCGTTTGATCTTCCTCTCTATGACGGAGTGGACGCTATCTCCCTCATTTTGTGTGTGGCCTTTGATTAGGAACTTATGCGTTATTGAATTAAGGAATTGGAATTTTGAAACTGCATACAAATACAACGCTATCATGAAATGGTTTTTTTGTTGCCCGCAACAATTATCTGAGAAGAATATGACATCTAACATTCTTCCTGAACTCGCATTTTGATTCAAAATCTCGAGATAATTATAGATACATGAACCAATTTCATTCACACCACGGTTTCCTTCGCCTTCGTGCCATACAAAACAGTGAACCTCTTTATTTTTCAAGTTGTAAATTGTGAAATTCAGGGTATTTATTTTGGAGACGTAATAAAAATTGGATACGTCTCCTCTCGGGCAAGGTAGGGTTCCCTGCAAGTCATAAACTGCTACAATGCAAGAAGGATCATCATTGTTCTTATCCTTTTCTTTTTCCAGTCGAGACATCGTTTTTTCCTTGAGATGATCATCATAACTTGATTTCAGTTGCTGTTTAGTCTCCAAATCTGCGTTAAGATAAGAAGTGCAATCTTCGCATTGATCCTTCTTAGGAGTGAAGAAAGCTATATTGAATTCTGTACAAAATATTCTATGGTACATGACATAGTTTCCGTAGGGTACGTTTTTCCTAATACAATCATTGACGTAGTCTCTATGTAACTCGGCTACAGATTTTCCCCCATCAATGAAGGCTCTCGTTGTGTCTGCTCTACAGTAATGGCTCTCGATTCTTGGTATGGAATCGATATGATAGCGAATTCCATCTTTGATGGTGTTGTCAAGTTTCTTATGATTTCCATGCTTGCCTCGATGATCTAGAGAAACAAAACCCCCAATAGGGTTACTTCTTTTGGAGAGAACGGTCCTAATTGGGCGATCATTTATTCCCAAAGTTGATCGGAAAAATGGCTTGCATACACGAATTTTCTTATAGTCTACAACGAAATAGAAGGCGTTTTTACCAGCACAATGACTATCAGGTTTTCTGTATGTATATTTTGGTTCAATTGCTATAATGTTAGATGATAAAAATTCTCGTTGTCTTTGTAAATCGCCGAGTTGCCAATAAGTCAAAAAAATGTTGTGGCGCTGCTCTTCTGTAACTTTTGCATAACACTTATGCTTGCATCGATCGGTACATGGGGGACCTATTTTCTTCTCGGGAACTAATATTTTGTTCCTCTTGGAATTGGAGATATACGATTTTCCGGCATTTCTCAAACGTTTAGCAGTCTCCTTTATTGATCCTGAAGGGTTTGCTTTCCTTTTCCGCCCTCTCTTCATAGTTTCTGTCACAATATTTGAATTGCTTTCATCTTCTCTCACTTCTACATCTACATCTCTTTCTTCATCTCTTTCTGCACCTCTTTCTCCATCTCTTTCTGCACCTCTTTCTTCATCTCTTTCTGCACCTCTTTCTTCATCTTCTTCTGCACCTCTTTCTTCATCTCTTTCTGCACCACTTTCTTCATCTCTTTCGGAATATCTTTCTCTATCTCTTTCTTCATCTCTTTCGGAATGTCTTTCTCTATCTCTTTCATCTTCTATTTCTTCTTCAGACGAAGACTCAGAAGAAGAAGATGAGTTTGTAGAACTAGCCGACGAACTAGAAGATGAAGTATTATCTCTTTTATACATAGGATCTTTCACACTGTCATCCGAAGAAAAATCCTGGAATGATCCATCACTTTCCTCTTGCACATTCATGTTGGATTCATCCATAACTGAAATCGAACAGTACTTTAGGAGATTTTCAAGTATATTGGTAGTACAAAAATATAATTATTTATTTGGAGCTCCCATTACCTTGCAATACATCAGAACTTATACCACAACCATCATTGGTTTCACTATTGTTATCAAGTTCTGTAACCACCGTATGTTCAGGCTTTTCTTGTGGTATTCCTAAAAATTAAGGAAACCGGTTATGTCAACTAAAAACATGCGGAGAAATTTATTTTATTTATTCTAATATATCTGATACCTTTTGAAAATATAGCACTACTATTGCTATTGTCTACTACTGGTGGTGTGTCTACTACTGGTGGTGGGTGAAATATGCCTTCATAGTTTTGGGGATGGTTTTCTTTTTCCGACAGAAAATCTATAAATTTGAAATACTAGTAATTATTGATGTTGAACATTTGAGATAAGAAAGTCAATGGCATCCAAGACATACAATGTTCATTTGATAAAACCCATATTCATCGATTCGATATCATTTGGTTTATAATTTTTGTCTCTCACCGATATTTTTTCGCAGCTCCACTTTTCCTTTTGCTTCTGTCATAGCTTGCTTCAACAATAGCTTGAACTTGGATCTGGGGTTTTCCATGATATTTAAAGCTGTAATATCACAATTCAAAAATTCTATGGAAACTGAATACAAAATCCAGCATGAAAATTAGATATCAAATTCACGCTATAAGAATCTAGGAAAGATTTTTTGATAACACGTCATTTGAAAACTTTGTAAAGACTAATCAATGCAAATGCATCTATGCAAAATGTGATAGGAAGTCGATATAATCATAGTAAAAATTCTTGAATATAAAAAAAAACATTATTTGCGTTACATTGAAAAATGATGAGATATTATTTATTACGAGAATATGGTCTTATTTCGAAATATATCCCTGAAAATGTAGAGAAGAATGACACGTAGCATAAGAGTCACTATCGCAATTAATTTTTGGACTGAAAAGTTGGAATAATCTCTGGAAGGATGACATATTTTGAAAAGAGACGTTATTCTGTGTGAAATATAATGAATCGATACTTATTATGATAAGAAGAACGACACGATACAAAATATGTCGATATTTCCTAGAACATTGTTTTGAAATTGCTGTTATGTTTTGAAATATGTCGTTATTCTCTAGAAGTTACACACTCACTCGCCGGCAAGAACAAAACTACTGGAAATAGGACGTTATTTCCCATAAAAAGGTCGGAATTTGATGAGTAAAGAATAATGACACTTGCGCCATCTCTCGTAGATAATTTGAAATATGCGTATAGGTCATTTTTTCCGATAAACTAGATACAGTTTTGAGTCGAAATCTACATCTAACTCAAAACAGCCACTCTTTGAAATGTGTCACTATTCTTTAGAGGCAGCGATTTGTTGTTTTTTAGGTTATATTGAGGTCACTGGCGTATCATACGTAATTTCTGGTAATTTCCATATGGAATTCCTGATTCAACTATACCAAGATATAGATGAACAATTCTCTAGTTTTAGACTTTACTACTTTACTACCAGCATAATATCTGCGATTTAGGGAACGTATAAATTGTACTGAAAACTAAATATATTTCACCAAAAGAGGCTGTTCTTAGACTGTATACCAGGGTTGACTGAATTGACTGAATGAATTCTGATTTCAAGCTGAGCAGTAGTTCATCTATGAGCTGAATGAGCTGAGCCTTATGATTGAGAAATGGTGGAAACACTGGAAACCTCGATGTGGGTATCTAGACTGCTGTACTCATGTCATGTGTGCTAAATATATTTTCAGAAATCCAACTCGGAGAAGAATTTATGGAGTAACTAATATCACACTATGTATAAAACTTTGTCTAAGACGAAAAGTAGGCTGATAAAAATTAATACGTAAAATGTGCACGAAAATAAAGAATAGAATATACTTCACCCCCATGTTATAAATATGATTTTTCCGTCTCTTTTAAATGAAAAGTCATTTTCGAATAATTCATTGATGAAAGTAACAAAGAAGTAGGTATACGCTAAGTATACGCAGTATAACTGATAGGCACGTTATTTTCACTCTTGCATCCTACATTTTTTCTATTTGTGGTAGAGTAATAATTATATAAACCAATGTCTTTCGCCATATTGGATCCGTCCTCTTGAATTTTCAATTTTGACGAAACAATCATTATCTCCTACCCCGAAAACCCCCAGATATACCAATTTTGAATAGAATTGGATCTTCATTACAAAACTCGTCCACCATTTTGGATCCGCCATCTTGAATATCCCAATTTTGACGAAATAATTATAATCTCCGACCCCGGAAATCTCCAGATACCAATTCTGATTTTTTGAATAGAATCGGATCATAATTACAAGTTTCGTTCGCCATATTGGATCCGCGGGGAAATGTAATTTGCTGACCAAAACTATTGAAGAATGCTGACCAAGCATTTCTGGTTCAAATTTTGTTTCCAAATTGCATATTCGAACATCTCATATAGATTTATAGATGCCAACAGTGGAATTATTTCAATTCATCCCTTCAGAGGGGTAGTTTATTTTTGCAGTTTTTAAAAAATCCTTGCTGACCGAGCATTTCTGGTCCGTATTTTTTCATCACATCACCTCCTGAAGGAGTGGATCGAAATAATTTCACTGGTGGCATCTATAAATCTATATGAGAAATCCAAATATGTAATATGATGAAAAAATACGGACCAGAAATGCTCGGTCAGCAAGGATTTCTAAACTGCAAAAATAAACTACCCCTCTGAAGGGGTGTATAGAAATAATTCTACTAGTGGGGCATTTATAATATATATGAGATATCCAAATATGTAATTTGATGGAAAAATACGAACCAGAAATGCTTGGTCAGCAAGGAATTTCGAAAAACAGCAAGAATAAACTACCCCTCTGAAAGGGTGGATCGAAATAATTCTACTGGTGGCATCTATTGATCTAAATGAGATATTCGAATATGTGATTTGATGGAAAAATACGAACCTGAAATGCTCGGTCAGCAAGGATTTTTGCAAAACTGCAAAAATAAACTACCCCTCTGAAAAGGTGGATCGAAATAATTCCACTGGTGGCATCTTCATATCTATATAAGATATTCAAATATGCTATTTGAAGAAAAAATTCGAATCAAAAATGCTCGGTCAGCAAGGAATTCTGAAAAACTGCAAGAATAAACTACCCTTCTGAAAGGGTTGATCAGAATAATTCCACCAGTGTCATGCATAAATATATATGTGATACTCAATTATGTTATTTGATGAAAAAATACGAACCAGTATTTCTCGGTCAGCAAGTATTTTTGAAAAACAGCAAGAATAAACTACCCCTCTGAAGGGGTGTATGGAAATAATTCTACTAGTGGCGCATTTATAATATATATGAGATATCCAAATATGTAATTTGATGGAAAAATACGAACCAGAAATGCTCGGTCAGCAAGGAATTTTGAAAAACAGCAAGAATAAACTACCCCTTTGAAAGGGTGGATCGAAATAATTCTACTGGTGGCATCTATATATCCATATAAGATATCCAAATATGCAATTTGGAGAGGAAATTCGAATCAGAAATGCTCGGTCAGCATACTTTAATTCTGGTCAACAAATTATACTCCTCCTGGATCCGCTATCTTGAATTTCCCAATTTTGACAAAAAATCATGAAGTTCGACCCCGAAAACTCTCAGATACCAATCTTGAATAGAATCGGATCATAATTAGAAATTTCTTTTGCTATATATTGTATTCTTCATCTTGAATTTTCCAAGTTTTACAAAACAATCATCTCCAACCCTGGAAAACCCCACATACCAAGAATCGGATCATAATTACGAAAATCGTTCGCCATATGATCTTCTTCAACAAGTTAATACCCTGTACATACCTATCATTAAAAGTTTGATTGATTTTCTGTTGCGCCCATGGATGTGACGTGACAGCAATGTCAGGGATGCCAGTAGACAAAACTAAAATCTCTAGATCATTAAAAAAGAATGCAGCTATGATCTGTCCGTACCCTGTTAAGATGACTTTAACGTCAATTTCCATCAAGGGACCCTAACTATGGCTATCTTCCGAATTCAACTGGTCAGTACTGTCAGTTGATCCACTGACTCTGCTGAAAATCTGTGTTCCGAAATATACAATCAAAAATTCACTACTGTAATTCGGGACACGTTTTCATGGTTTTCATCAGTAGTAGTTTCTCGTTTATCTGAACTAGATGTTTAGTCTCCTACTTGTTATAAATTTTGGATAAATTTAATATTTTACTTGGAAGAGAAATCTATTCTTGTATCCTCTATAGTTTCTACGATTGTTGACGATGGCGATTCAAGCTCGAGTGATGAAGAATACTTGGACATTTTGTTGCCATCAATTTTTCATGATGCACCAGATTGAGAATTGAGATTCATGAAAATCGCAATATGCCCTAATAATGATGAATTTTAGGAGCCATTCCAGGTTTATTTAGTTTATTTAGCCAATGCTGCTCCTTTCCTTACCTGCTCTACTACTTCATACTCCAGGTATTTTCTGATATTGAGAATGATTTCATTAACAACGGAAATGAATGTTACATTCGAGTCGAGTTGGTTTCAGTATAGACGTGTTTAAAAGTACTCCTAGAAATTGGTGTTTTTAAAGTGGTTATAGTGCTCGCACATAGTTGCGGTTTTTACCATTAAATAGGACTCAGTGAGTGGAATCCCTCAATATCAAAGTTGACTACTAATATCAACTGACTTTTCGTTCTCTTGATAAAACTCGTAATCTGCCATCAGGCTATTTCAGCTGATATCGTCGTTCATAGTGTACACACTTTTTATAATGCCAGTTGTTTGTAGCTCATGTGGTTTTTCGGTGACAGGGTCGAACCCGAGCCTTTCTTGCTATAGATGTGCAAAAACTTATCATTTTAAATGTGCCAATCAGGTTAGGTGGGTGGGTGCCGTTACAGAACTCTCATAGGGGGTTGGGTGGGGGGTGCCGTTACAGCCCTCTCATTAATACACTACTTAGTGACTTAGATAACAAGAGCAGACCTTCAAGCTCTGCTATCAACGAAGCAAATACCCCGAATGATGCTGACGGATTTACCCCAGCAATGAGGAAGAGGAAGATGAAAAATGATAAAATAGGAGGTGGTGAAGGTGATAACCATGGAATTTGAAAACCAGATAAAAAAAATGGCTATTTCTATCAAGAGTAGGGGAATGTGGGAGAGTTGGTACCGCGGGTGAGTTGGGACAGCGAATTTTTCTCGAGTTTGGTTGGTAGAATTGTATTGTTGTCAATACAGGTTAAGCACATCCGAGGCAGACGTGAATAAACCTCAGTAGCAGACGCGTGTGTTGTTTTATTTAAATATCAGGTAACTATTACTATTTATTGGACTCGAAAGTTATTATTTTGATTCATCAAATAATTCGATTTATTTCTTTGCAATTGCAATGTAAGTTATATCTGAAAGTTAATTATGCATATGATGGCCAATGATTGAGCTATGAAATGTAGTAGTGATTTCATGATTCACTTCAACTTAGAAAACAATATGGCCACTGAAAGTGTAATAGAACAGCATGGGAGAGTT